AAGTGTTTCTTCACCCAATCCCAGTAATATTAAATCACACATCATCCTCCTTATTAGAAACCGATTAGCAGTCTTATCTACCCTAAAATACGACATTACTCTAGTCTGGATACCGGGTCACTCAGGCATTGAAGGCAACGAACTAGCCGACGAAGCAGCAAAACAAGCTTCAATCAATGCCCCACTTCTAAATTTCAATCTTCCTTATTCTGATTTCGTTAACACCTTTAAAGACCAAATGAACAAAAAATCCGACGACTATTACCTAACAAGAGGCAAAAACTTTGGAGCTTTCTACACAGAACGATTTTATCAACTACGAAACAAACCCTGGTTCGCAACATCTCATTTAAAAAGACAACAAATAGTCTCAATATGTCGATTAAGGAGTAATCATTACTCTTTAAACGCAAGTCTTCATAGAAAAGGAATTGTTCCCTCTCCAGCATGCCCATGTAACCCATTAATCCAAGAAGACCTCGAACATGTTCTCTGGAATTGCCCCAGATTCAACATCTTTCGATCAATATTAATTAACCGCCTCTCAAAATCACTAAAATGCATCGGACCTTTCTGTAGCGAAATCCTCCTCACCAATCCATCTCCAACAATCATTTCTCACCTATTCAAATTTTTAGATAAAACAAACTTGAAATTCTAACAAATCCCCAAATACTCTCTCTACAATCTTTTCTACGCGAATTTTAAATCTATAAATTCGCGCGCCAACACTACAACTCTTTACCGGATCATGGCGAAATATACATAACTTACGTGTATAAAGCCAACGCATGCGTACTCCGCATGAAACCCAAACATCATCATTAGTAAAATGCAGTGAAACTGGCATTTATCGTGCATGTTTTTCTGACATTTTCAGAAGCGCTACTACAACAAGATCGGTCTCCTTACTATTCCTCCGTGAGCTATCCAGTGCTGATACGTAGGAAATTCAAGGTTGCTACTGATAGCTAATTCACGAATTTTTCCACCTTCGAACATTAATTTTACATTTTGGTGAAGAGTGCAAACGCAAACAGTATGCGAACCACTTCCTCCAGTTAATATACATTCTTTGGGTCTTAATTCTGCAAATTTCAAAAATCCTATTGGTTGTTCAGGATAAGATTATTTAAAAAATCTATGAAGCTCTTTAAGATTGCACAACATTAACCTTTTTTGTTCTTTAATTTTTTTTCCACTCGACTATTGTTATCATTTTTGTAAAATTCTTTAACTAATGTTCTTGTTTCTGCAGACAATTGTTTTCTTGTTATTGGTTTTGGAGAAGCTAAAAAGTTATTTCCAGAAATCAATGTTTTTGCTCTTTGTGCCATTCGACTTGAACATCCAAATGTTTCTTCAAATCTCCGAATTGTCCAATTTTTAGGTAGAATTGTTAAAATTTGCAATTGAAGGTTTTTATCTTCTTTACATTCTTCAAATTTTTCTTGAAGATGTTTTACAATATCATTTTCATCATCATTAGAGTCATCGAGATCAAAAAATTTTTTTTTAAGTACAGAAGTAATATTTTTTATTAAATCTTTTATTTCTGTAACAGTATAAGATTTTATAGAATCAATTTGAGGTTCATTTAAAATTATTAAACATTTATTTAAATAAGAAAATACTGCCTTTTTGTCCACTGCAGGAAATTGTATCATATCTTCTGCACCATTTTGTGGGATAAAAATATTTTCAATGTCATTCATTCCAACATCACTAGTAATATTTTCATTGTCGTTCATGATTTGTTGTGGATTATTATTTTTTCTTTCTATAAAATAAGGAGGTTTTTGCAATAAAGATTTTCTGCATTGATCACAAAGATATTGATCACCTGAAAGATTTGAAAATTTTTTCGCTAGCTCTTTTGAAATGTTGCGAAGATTTTTTTTATATTTCGCATGTTTAGGTCTATTAAGTGGGTTATAACAAAATTTAGTAAAAGGCATCTTAAAAAACAAAAAATAATAAAAATAATACAATATTTTTAATGAAATAAAATTATATTAAATTAACAAAACAGCGGAAGTTAAAGCTCTTCAAGAACTTTCTCCAAAAAGATGAAGAAAAAATCGTAATGAAAAAAGAAACACAAATTTTAAAAAACCAGAAAAGAAAAAAAATTATAAGTCGAAACGCTTACTTGAACGTAAATTCAATTTAATACCAAACACATAAATAAGTAAAATCGAACACCAAAAATACTTACTTTCATAGAAAAATACGAAAAATTAGTAAAATGTCTAGCTAAATTGTTATCTGCATATATACATTTCGAAACGCACGTCATTAGTGGGAGAAATTATCAAAATTCAGACTTCGACACCTTGCGGACGTGAAGACACCTACTAAAGATAACGCGCGAATTTTTAAATACAATTTATATTCTACACATAAAAAGAGTAAAACTGATATTACTCAAATTAAAGAAAATGAATTTTATTTGATATGAATATTATTGACATCATTATTATTTACTAAATTATTATTAATTATGATATTTTTTTTATTAAAATAATTCAATCAAAAATTCCATTTAAATTTCTAAATCAACTGATTGAAGGCATATTTCATTATAATTTACATTATTACGTTGATTGTAATTAACGGAATCAGATAATAATATTTATAATTATTAAATAATACAAATATTTCAAAATTATGTATGTATTTAAAAACAGTAGTCTACTTAGAAAGTATAAAGTGCCATTGATTTTACATAATTCTTTACTATATAATGGACGTGAATACTAAGATGCGCGCGTCCCGCCGTGCCGCACGGGACGTTTTATTTTTTTTCTCCCAAAGTTCTTGCTGTCCCATTATAAAAATTGAAGGGGTTATTCCTGGCATCATAGGCAATATGTGGAAAAAAAAATTTTGAAATCGAAGAGGTAGTTTTTTCAAAAAATAAATTCAAAAATTTTTTTTGACTGTTTTCCGGGCAAAAAATTTTTTTTTTTCATGAACTATTTTTTTCTTAAAAAAGCATCTTTTTGTGAGAAATATATAAAAAAGTTGATCTCATTTGGATAACAAGAAAAAAAGTTACATGTTTTTTTTAAAAAAATGACATAAATTTTGAATTAGAAATATCTCAAAAAATTTTGAAATTTTTGAAAAAGTCTTTGTGGGCTTTTATTCTGTACATATAAAGGAACATATTCACAAGGTTTCAATAAAATTGCTCCAATCATCAAAAATTCTTGTGATCACATCCCATGGAATTGCTCTCTTTATTTGCTATGAGAGTTAATTTCAAAATTTTTTTTGGTGGGTAGTAAAAAAATTTTCAGGAAAATTCTCGAAAATGTTCGTAAATAAAAAAGGCATTCTTTCTTTATTTTTCTACTAAATATTATTAAGTTTTATGAAGAAACAACAGAGAAAATGAGAAAATAGTAAAAAAGGGTGCTTAAAATTTAATTGTTTATAACTAATTGAAAAATTAATATATGTATATTATTATGTATAAATTTTTTTTAACCCATTAACGACCGCCGAGACGAAAAATTTACCTTCAATTAGCAGCTGTTATTTTATATGAAAAAATAATTTAAAAAATTCAGGATAGCCCATTTCTAACCTAAAATTTATCGCTCTTTTCGATTATGAAGTCCAAATTTAATTATAATTAAATCCTTAATATTTATAATAATTTTATTGCAAAAAAACATGATGTTCTGCAAAAAATTTTTTATTCAAAAAATATTTTGACATGGAAAACGACAGTTAATTTTCTCCGGAACCCAAAATATCGCGTCCTCGAATACCCAGCTACAAAACTATATAGTTGCGAATACCAAAATTAAAAAAAAAAATTAAAAAAAATTAAAATTCACCGAATTTGCTTGAAAATCAATACTTATTGAGTTTTTGGGGTCGTTGATTTCGAATTACTTCACTTTATATTGAAATCGAACACATTTTTTATTACTGATCTACTATTTTATTACTGTGTGACCATAAAATTTCACCATTTCTACCGTCAAAGAAGTACTGAAATAATCAAATTGTTTAACATTTTTTATAAACATTTCTAAAGAGACGCGTACTTTAAAGGATTTTCTGCAGGGTTAAAATTTGTAGGCTATTTCGGATCCGCCATGTTGAATTATTGAAAAGTAACTTCAGATTTGTAACCGTCGACCCCAAAAACCCCCGAGTAACAAATTTCAGATAAATCCATTGAGTTTTTGAAAAAATTTTCCGCCATGTTGAATTATTGAAAAGTAACTTCAGATTCGTAACCGGCGACCCCAAAAACCCCCGAGTAACAAATTTCAGATAAATCCATTGAGTTTTTGAAAAAATTTTCCGCCATGTTGAATTATTGAAAAGTAACTTCAGATTCGTAACCGGCGACTCCAAAAACCCCCGAGTAACAAATTTCAGATAAATCCATTGAGTTTTTGAAAAAATTGTCCGCCATATTGGATCCGCCATTTTGAATTTTTGAGAACTTATACCGTATTCGTGTTTAGTGACCCAAAAAACATAAGTATATGGTGCAGAAATAAAAATAATTCATCAATATATTATTTTTTGCAAAATAGTATTTTTTAAATCTTTTTTAGTGGAAAATCGCCATTTTGTCGTCCGCCATCATCAATTTTGGTATTCGCAACTATATAGTTTTGTAGCTGGGTATTCGAGGACGCGATATTTTGGGTTCCGGAGAAAATTAACTGTCGTTTTCCATGTCAAAATATTTTTTGAATAAAAAATTTTTTGCAGAAAATCATGTTTTTTTGCAATAAAATTATTATAAATATTAAGGATTTAATTATAATTAAATTTGGACTTCATAATCGAAAAGAGCGATAAATTTTACGTTAGAAATGGGCTATCCTGAATTTTTTAAATTATTTTTTCATATAAAATAACAGCTGCTAAGTGAAGGTAAATTTTTCGTCCTGGCGGTCGTTAATGGGTTAATTAAATATTAGTGGTAACAATAATTTATGTTTTTTTTCTGTTCTCATGCGAAGTGCTGAAGAAGGCTTTCGATGCTTTTGACCACGAAAAAAAAGGTTGTATTGGTACAGATATGGTTGGAACAATTCTGTCTATGCTAGGATATGAACTAAGCGAGTCTACTTTAGCAGAAATTATAGCAGAAGTGGATGAAGATGGTAAGAAGTTAATAATTCAAATATGATAAAATCATAAAATAATAAGAAGAGTTCCTTAAAATAGAAATATTGTTTAAAACTTTTATACAAGATGGCAGTACTTACTTTATCCTTTTTATCGAATATAGACGCAGTTCTTTTTATGTAAATGAAAACGCCTGTTTGTTTTTTTGCTGTCATCATTTTAAGATATATTATTTAATTATATATTTATTAAACAAAATAATCTATGTACACTTACAATTATCTAAGTACGACTGAAATATTCCCTCAACATCACCCAAACATCCCTGAATGTCAATAAATAATCCCTGAATGTCACCGTGAAATATTCCCATGAGGCGCACTGAAAAAAACTAGTAGGTTTTACTACTTTTTAACTACTCTGAGTAGTACAATAGGTCCTCGATTGAATTTAAACGGTTCTATTAACTATATAAAAATAGTTAAACCAATTAAAAATGTAATTGGTAGAATGACATTTTGTGATTTTATTAACTCAATTTAAAAATGTTAAAACAACTCAAGATGTAAATCTATTACTTAAAGTAGTAGTTTTAATTACAGACGACTTGTTAATTCTACAAGAATTTTATTGAAGCCTATAAAATCATAGAAATTAATAAAAAATTTACTACTCAAAAAGCAGTTATATTAATTAAAGAAAATAATTCCTTTTACTACATTTCATATAACTGGTGAATAGTAGTTGGATTTACTACTCTTCAAATTTTGAGTTATTTTTCACTATTTTCCTTATAACTTCTTTATTTTTTATAGAATTAATTCCAAACTTTTGGAAACACTTCTTTAATATGTAAGGAAAAACTTTGTCGTGAGAAGTTTTTCCAAAATGAAAATTCCCTCGATAACTTTTTCAGTAGAAGGTTAAAAAACACATATTTTCAAAATTAAAACTTTATTATTATTTAATATTAAATAATAACAATTTTCTTGATTTTTTTATGATTGTCGTCTTTAATAGTATAAACTGAATAAGATGCACCAAATTTCAAAAAAATCCATTAATATTTGGCAAAATTATGACGAGTTATGTTTTAAAAGTCCATTAAATTATCGTAAAAAAATTTTCTACTTTTTTACCTCTATTAATTTTAATATTCGTTTTATAAAAAATCTCAAAGGAAAAAAAGGTGCGGATTTTCATTTCCTACAGGATAGCGTTTTTAAAAAATTTGAATTTTATTTTTTTCCATTTTTGGACCACCTGACTGGTCGCAAGGCGGCTGCCTCAAGTGTAAGTCTCCTTATAGAATCGTGGTCCTCAATTCCACTTGTTTTTACTACCTTAAGAAAGTTAATTTTACTACCTACCTGTAGTTGTACTTTAACTACATATTTACGTAAAATCAACTATTACTTATTAACTTCTTAAAAATAGTTACATTAACTACATGAACATAATTAGATTAACTAAAAAAGTAATTATTTTAAATACTTTCTAGTCAACTAAACAATGGTAGTTGAATTTCTCGGAAACATTTTTTTCAGTGCGGAAATATTGATATTTCTAAAAGCTATTGCACCCCACCAAGGGCCAGCATCGCAATATAGTTCTTATTCAATTGTTTGTGCAATATAGTGATAGTTCAAGTTGTGGGTAATAAAATGTTTATTTAATCGTCAATTCAATATAGGGTTAGGTGGGCGAATTGGAGCCCCTTAAGGAAAATGATTAAAAAAACCAACTTATGTTTATAATTAAATATTGTTTCGGTCATTTTTTACTCCTTTTGGTATTTATCTTTAATTATAATTAATTAGAAATTCAGAACAAAAAAGTAAGTTTGAAAAAAATGCATTTTCTTCCATTACCCCATCTGTGGGGCATTGAGAGCTCTTTTAATTTATTAAATATGTAGTTAATTCTTCCACAATTGTTTAGAAAATTATTTATTCGATTCTTAGAAGAAATATAAAGGAAAAGAAAATAACACTTTTTCCTTTTTTAATATAAAACAGACGACGTTTCGGTGGTCAGGTTCGCCACCATCATCAGGTCACTTTAATAAAAAATTGTTTATATAAATTACAAAACATTTTTTAAATATTAATCACAAATTAAAAAAATAAAAAACAACTTTTTCTTTTTTTTACCTAATTAAAATCAACAAATTTTCACATAACGTCAAAAAAATAAAAAATTACATTCAAATAAATAGACAAAATGCAACAAAAAATTAAAATATTTAAATCTACAAATCACCAACATATTAAGTGAAGGTGATTAGTCAAACTGACTTGAACGGTGACAATTTTCGAGATATATACAGACAATAAGGTCAATGACCCGCAATCGAAATATTATGAATTACAACCATTATTTCAATTTATTAAGCAAAGGAAAATAAGTATTGCTAAGAAACTGTATATCTTCCTTCTTGTTAATTGTGAGATTATTACATTTAATATTAATCATCTCAGAAATTAATCGTTTTTTATAAGAAGTTTCGTAATCTAAAATTTCTGCATCGTCAAAATTGAAAGAATGATTATATTCATTTTGATGTTTGTTCACCACAGAATCGAGTTTCTTATTTTTATGTTCACTAATTCTTTTTTTCAAAGTACGTTTCGATTCACCAATATAAGTAGCTGGGCAGTTATTACAATTAAATTTATACACAATATTAGTACTATCAAACTTTCTCGTCAAGTCCTTTCCCAATTTAATTACAGAGCTTAAGCTTTTTTTCACAATAGGAATAGACAGTAAATTATATTTTTTTAAAATATGAGATAATTGATAATATGTATCATTAAAAGGAATACACACTTTAGGTAATTGTTGAAAAATGCTAACAACATTATTAGATTGTTTTTTATCTATTGTTCTATAAATTAGTGAATGTTTTCGTTTTTTAATATTTTTTTGAATAAATTCCAAAGGGTAATCGTTATTCAGTAAAATTTCAAAAATTCGTTTAATATTTTCACTATGAAAAGACTTGTGAGACAATAGAATAGCTCTATCATATAAATTATAAACAATATTCTTCTTTTGCTGAATTGGATGACGTGAAAAATAATTTATTAATCTGTTAGAAGCAATTGATTTTTGATACCAATTAGTAATGAGTTGATTATTTTTCTTAATTAATGTCATATCCAAGAAATTTATTTTATTATCAACCTCCAGTTCATGAGTGAATTTTAAATTAATATTGAAGGAATTGAAAGAATTAATAAAAATTTCTACTTGATCCTTATGGACGCACAAGAGAGTGTCGTCCACATATCTAAAATAAAATTTGGGAACACAATTGTGATCATTTTTAAGTAAATTTAAACAATCAGTTTCCATATCATTCATCACAATATCCGCAAAAAATGGCGATATCGGTGAGCCCATTGGGGTGCCATAAATTTGTTTATAAACTTTCTCATTAAAAACAAAATAGGTATTATCAAAAAGAAATTTTGTACAATTAATAATGTCAACAAAAGGAATCTTACACTTATTATGAATAATACTATATCTTCTATCAAGGCTTTGAATAACTAAATCGCACGGAATATTAGTAAAAAGCGAACTAACATCAAGCGAAAGCAAAACAAAATCCTGTGGTACAGTAACATTCTTCAATTTTTCTTTTAATTCAAAGCTATTGTTTACATGAGATTTTGGTAAAGGAATTACAGTTTTTAACTCTTCGTATATAATTTTTGCCAAAAAATGAGTTGGACTATTTATAAGTGAAATAATAGGACGAAGAGGTGCATTGTCTTTATGGATTTTTGGTAAACCATAAAATTTTGCCAAAGAAGTATTAGTCATAGTTAACTGATTATTATGGTATTTGTTTTTAAGGAAATCATTATCATTTAAATTTTTTAAAATTTTATAAGTTCTTGATTGTAATTTAGACAAAACTCCTTTTGTTAAAATTTCTTTATAAGTATGTGTATCAGAAAGTAAGTCATAAGCTTTAGAAATGTAATCAGATTTTTTCATACAAACAGAAACATTACCTTTGTCTGAATTAGTAAAAAAGATATCAGGATTTTGTTTCAAAAAACTTTTGGTAGAATTTAATTTAGTGGCAAAACTTTTTTCTTCAAAGGTGACATTGTTTTTTTTCCCCGAAGGATTTGACATAATACTATTATTAGAGATATTCACTTTCATCTCAATTTCTTGAATAAAAGATTGCGATTCGTTGAGTGTGAAATTTCTAACTCTTCTATTGACTCAGAAATATTGAATAATTTTTTCCTCTTTTCTGATAAAAAGTTTTCATCTGTTTACTCACTCTATAATCAAAAACTTATCAAAAAATTCAATTCACTTCTTCATAATAAACATTCTTCCTGTAATAATAATTCTAAAAAACAAAATTGGCTGATCAATCTAACTGACACTGTCATTCCTCAAGAAGTTCATGATGTCATTTCACTTGGACAAAATTATAGTTGTACGGTCCAAAAAAATAAATGTATTTCCAAACAGGAGACCATAAATATTATAAAAAATGTAGAATGTACTGTTTCGAGTTTGAGTATTTGTTCTGAGGCCAAAAATGAGATTAGAGAAAAAGTGAGTAATAGTATTATGTCAAATCCTTCGGGGAAAAAAAACAATGTCACCTTTGAAGAAAAAAGTTTTGCCACTAAATTAAATTCTACCAAAAGTTTTTTGAAACAAAATCCTGATATCTTTTTTACTAATTCAGACAAAGGTAATGTTTCTGTTTGTATGAAAAAATCTGATTACATTTCTAAAGCTTATGACTTACTTTCTGATACACATACTTATAAAGAAATTTTAACAAAAGGAGTTTTGTCTAAATTACAATCAAGAACTTATAAAATTTTAAAAAATTTAAATGATAATGATTTCCTTAAAAACAAATACCATAATAATCAGTTAACTATGACTAATACTTCTTTGGCAAAATTTTATGGTTTACCAAAAATCCATAAAGACAATGCACCTCTTCGTCCTATTATTTCACTTATAAATAGTCCAACTCATTTTT